CCCACGTGCACCGACCAGACGGCCCGCTCCTCGGACACCCGATCCCGAAGAGCTGGGGGCCACACCTGCCGAGGATACCGCTCCCGCGGACGATGGGCCCCAACAAACGGCAGGCCAATCTGACGAACCTCTGGTTACCGTTATTGTGGACATCGAACATACCACTCACCGCCGAAGAAAAAGCGGCAAATGACAATATGAAGGCAGATCTATCAGCAGAGATCCAAGCAGATGAGCACGTCGACGCGAGCATCCTCGACAACGTTATTGACCCGCCAGAAGACTTCCTCAATCACCCCGACTACGACCCAGAGGAGGAGACAAGGTGGACCAGACAATCATACGACCACAGCATATACCGCTGGGTGTCGGAGCTTTTGGTTGAGTCACCTATGCTAGAGATGAAGCAAATCACTGAGGTGCATACTGGCGTGGACAGATCTGTGGTGGATAGAGTACAGTCGTACTTACAATTCGACGTTCAATCCGGATCCAAAGCATGGAACGCAGAGAAATACGACTTGGATTACAGTCGTACCCACAAATGAGCACGTGACTTACCAATTTGCAGTGCAGATCGCTTCTTCAAAAAGTTGGTACACTATCTGGACCCAGAGACCATCGAGGAGTCGACTACAGGCGTCTGTCAATCGATCTTTAAAGTGTACCAACACATATTGCTGGACAGCATTGCGGAGCTCCGTGGCTTCACACAAGATGCTATCCATCAGAATCATCCCGCACTCCAAACGTTGCGTGATCTATTTACACATTGCATCAACACATTCGGCAATCCAGGCTTCCCCGTATGGACGGAGCTGGTGGAAACACCTGCCGCGCCACGTTACCCAGGCGCGGAGCAGGACATTCCCCAGGACCCAGGCAGCATTGCATCCGCAGCTCCTGATCAAGAAACCATGGTGCGGATCATAGCCGGGCAGACGGGAGTCAACCGCGAGGAGGGCGACAACGAGTCCGCCTTGCAGGAGGAGGCTCGCCGTCTCCGTACTGAGAACGCATGCCATGGTGATACTGAGGATGCGGACAACGACACGACAGAGCGCAGAGGACTGCCAGGGGAAAGATTGTCTAGGATCGAGATCGTGGGATTGAGTAGACCAATCGCTTCCCGAGCCATGGATCAGATCGGCCGCAGTCTTGCTCGTGGTCGGGATACTCGCTGGGGATCTCGTGAGCACCTCACGACTGAGGGAGCCCCAGAAAGTATCCAGCATTGTATCGCGCGATGTCGGAATTGTGATCGCACCTTATCCCTAGGGACCGTTGCAAATGATGGTACCCTTTGTGATCTGCTGGCAGTGCGCTGTATCTGTAGGTGCTACGGGTAAAAGTATTGCCGTCCAGAGCGCCCTAGCATACTTCCAGAAGCTGACCGACTGGATCAGGACGACGCTCTCCCAGGACGACACCACGAGGTACATGAGAGACGGAGCGCAAGTCATCATGACGGGCAAGCGCTCATTTCCAGGCAATGAGAAAGACGCGCTGAGGAGAATGGCCAATCCCGCTAGGAAGAGGTATCAGAGGTGGGTCGACTCTGGCCGCCCTCCTGCACACGAGTGCAAACTGATGGGCGAGGCTGAAGACGACAGACCTCTATACCATCCATATGCCAATCTCGCTCATCGTTTTCTCAATGATTTGAAGTTTCACCACCAAATGACAGGCGCTCGCGTTAACGTGGGCAAGAAGGCCTGGACCGTGGAGGACATGCGTGATGCGTGTGAGATCCTCGAGACCAGCATCAGGACAGGCCAAGCTGGTCGGAAGAAATGGTGGTTGAACGGAGGCAGACTCGACAGACAAACGCGGCAGGCTCGCGGACTTGTCACGATTGCCCCCCCCAGAGGGGATGGCACCCGTGAGAAAGTCACGCAGCGCAAGCTTGCTGCGCTTGCTCGCGAGTTGTTGGGTTCTGTCGATCCGACACACACCGACCAGAGGGGGTTGATTCAGGGATGAGAACCGATCCGATCGAACCTGATACACACTCCCAACGCTCTGATGATGCCATGGGGCCGCGCCATCCGCCGCCGCCGCGCCCTGCCCCTGGCGATGCTGCACGGTCTAGCGCCTCTGGCGCGAATGACCACGCGCTCGCGGGGGCGCGCGGCACTGCAGCGCAGCGGCAGGATAGCGATGGCAGCTACAGACCTCGCGCCAAGAGGGCACGTACGACAGACTACGCCGCCTGGTGGCGCGACGGCCTGGAGGACAGCCATTGGGGCCTCAGGTGCTGGAGCTACTACATCAACTGCTGGATTTACATCGCGCTCATTAACGACGAGTTCGTATACATCCGCGACATCCAGTACAACAAGTGGTCTCGCCACTGGATCCCGAGGACATCTTGGGAGACGTTCGCGACGAGCTACGTGACGCACGATGGCCGCAGGATGTGGGGCCGCAGGTTCTACGAGAACGACAACGCGTAGCGAGTCGGCCGCAAGGCCCGCCGCTCGAAAGGCTTGAACTTCATTATAATACAAGTTCGCCTTGAGCGGTGGCTATTATATACTTCTAGGCCACTTCACTACACAACACAAGTGGCAGCACATGCACACATCTTTTGCGATAACCAAGGCAGCCTCCTAAGGAGTCACGCCAGCGGGAGTCGCCATATAGAGGATTTGCATGCATGCAACTTTCGTGTTCATCAACGCGACTTTTCGTCTGGCCAGACATTTGCTTTGTTATATAGATGCGTTTTGTAACACGGTCGTGTTCATCAACACGGTCTCTGGTTGCATATTCTTTACAGTCTAACTCCATTGCGTTGAGAATGATCTGACAGCTGGTGGCAACACCTGCCTCGCATAGGCGAGGCAGATTATAAGTTGCTTTAACTTGCTCATTTCCTCTTTCTCCGCCCACCCGTGTCTCATTCTTCTCCGCCCTCGAGTGCCGAAGCGTTTTGGGGGGCGCACCGAGGGGGCACCAAAGCGTTCTTGGCGAAGAAATCGGGACCCAGGGTGTTCCTTCTTACCTTACTTTGCAGCTGAGGCTATACTGACTTTGCGCTCAGCTGCCTGCAGACCTGGGGATTGAAGGAGTAAAAGGGTGACGGATTCTTTTCCTCTGTTCCCGAGTCCTACCCTCACGGGCGGGATTCGGGACGGGGTGTGTGAATAGAACCCGTGTAACACCCTCATATATACTCCTTATCCTCACCTCTCCTGCGCCTGGCCGTTTGGGCTCAGGTATTGGGACAGATCGATCAGACCTTTGATCGTGCAGGAGGGACAGACATCCATCTATCCCTCCTTCCCTCTACCAGCGGATCAGGGGTTCTGTGCCCTTGTACTTCAACCCCATACACACTGGGGGGCCTCTTCGGGAGTCTCCGGGGAGCCTCTTGGAGGCATCATTGGGGCCTCTTGGGGTTGGGGCCTCCTGGACACCTCTTGGAGCCGTCTTCGGGCACCCTTGGGAGCTTTCGGAAGCCATCATGGGAGTATCGCAGGCAATCGATCAAACGACGGGCCGTACTCAATTGCGCTCCCCATCCCCTACGAGGCCAACATGTGGCCAACACCTTAGTTCGATCAGTGATTTTGGCTGAATCGCCGAGGCCTTTTCGCACGCTCTAACCCCTCGCGCCCCCTCCCCCCCTTCAGGTCCATGTGGAAGGGGTAGGAAGACCCCGCGTGCCATGCGCGCCAGACACCCCTGGAGCCCGAGCGTGCCAGGCACGCCTGATGTGCCAGATGCGCCACGGGCTCCGTGTGCGCCAGGTGTGCGGCACATTCCAGCCGCGCTTGTGTAGAGCGTAGGGTGTAGAGTGTGTCAGGTGCGCCTGCGCATGTGACAGCACACATCGGGAAGCATGCCGGCCCCCATCATCCTTGTCGAACACCAATGCCCATCATTGTGTTTGGTGGGCCTGCGCACAGCAGGCCATGCGCCACCACCCCCGCCCTCCCTGTCAAAAACCACTTGACAGTGATCGCGGGGTGGCCGCGCATGATCCAGATTTAGCCTCGAGATGGAATTCGTATTGTTTGTGCTGGCAGGGGTGGTCCCCCTGCGCACAGCAGGCAATATGCTGACACTTTCGCCGACCCTGTCAAAACCAAGGCAAAGTGCTCGCGGGCCTCACGAACATGACTCAAGACTTTGCCCCAGAGTGTACTTTGTATTGTTTTTGACAGAGCTGGGGGGGGGGCGCATCGGGTTGACCGCGCATGCTCCAAATGTGGAGGCAGAGTGCGTTCTGTATGTTTTTTGACAGGGATGATGGGGGGGCGTGGAGCATAGTGTCCTTATGATTCCTGGTTCGCTGCCGCTCGCCTGGGGGAGGGGGTGTATATTATTAATAGAGAACAGTGACAGACCCTTGCCCGACGGGGAAGAAAGGGGGAGGGACGAGGACACTGTCTACACAACTCACGCCCTAAGCCTGCATTGCACATTGCTTGATTTGGCGATGGCGTCATGAACAGTTGCCGCACAGAACAAACTCTGCGAAATACGTTAGCACCCCCCGCAATTGCGGATGAGCGAGAAGTAGGCGTCGCGGGGTGGGTTGCGAGTAGGTCGTGGGTGGGTCGCCAGGTGGGCCGCCAAAGCGAGAGTGCCAAAGCGGATATAAGGGGGCGTGGCAACCATAAATTGTTGAATAGATCGTGTTCAATACACAGGCAGACTCCGGGCCACGGAATCCCCTTTCGCTTATGCACCCAGGGACGGTGTCAGACCATTGGGCCACCCTCGCTCGGATCTCTTTTTCAGCGCGCGGCCTCGGGGAGGCCCTGACCCCTCCCCTCTGGGTGGGGCTCCATGTGCACACCAAGTCATTCGGTCGGCCAAAGGGGCTCCGCGTGTGCATGGACGCCCCGGCTGCCCGGCCCTCGGGACGCTTGAGCGTCTCTGCGCCGAGACCCCTCGCCGACAGATCCTTGGCGCCGTGGCCGAGCATACGCCGTGACGTGCACGTCGAGCCCCGCCGATGTTTGGGGCCGGCTGTGCCCTCTGCCGAGGCTGCTCGAGGAGCCCTCGCCCTCGGACGACGGAGCCCTGGCGGCGTGCCTGTCAGCCGTGCCGCAGGTCCTCGCGGAGGGCCAGACAGCGGCGTCCACGTCGCTCGGAGGTGTGTGTGTGTGTTTCTTCTCGGCGAGGCCAGCGCACAGAGCATCTGGACCGCACCTCGGAGGAGGACGAGGTGCCGATACCGCTGCGCTCAAGTCGGGCCTGTCCCTCTACAGAGGGGAAGATTTAGAAATAGTCAACAAATAGTCCGGGGACGATTCGGGGTATTTTTTTTGCATTTTGAAGCATTTGTTTTTGTTGTTGTTGCTATGTTTGATTTTTCATCCAAAATCCCCCTGTAGGGGAACAGGCCCGACCTAACGCTACGCTTCCCTAGTTGTTGTCTTTTTGGGGACCTCCTGGGAGACCTTCGTTGTGAGGGCCGGATTCGCCTCGGAGTTCTGGCCAGGACGCATCCTGGGAGAGGTTCGGGGAGCATCGGTATCGGTACGGTGCCTCTTGGTTTCCCCAATCTTGGAGCATCTCGCTTCATCTGGAGAAGAAGACACGCGCGAACCCGAACAATGCGCGGGTAATGGACGTCCTACCGATGGCACCAGCGGCATGACCCTGCGAACGTTCGGAAGTCTTCCGCGGGACTCCACTGGCCTGCGTTGGACCCGCCCACGATCTCCGACGATGTGAAGCGGGGTCGTCCGTGCCGAAATTTGTGCGTAAGCTTCTCGCGTATGACTGCACGTGAGCGCCCTCTCCTCTTCGCGGTGTCCCACTCTGGCGGCCCATATGAGCCGCCGCGTATTGTCGCCATGTTCTCTTGCGCAGGGCCCGCTTGTTTTCGTCTCATGCGTTGTTCCGTGCCAGTATGTGGTTTTGCGGTCCCGTTTTGAAGAGACACCGCCCAGCGTCACTCCTCACTCCTCCTCGCCTGTTTCCCTCCTCCTCATCCTTGCCTCTGCCCTCCGCGCCCCATTCGGCACACCCCACAGGGAGCTCCACCGAAGGCCCCAGTGGCTACGGTTGCATGGCACCACCGCGCCCGTGTCGGTACATCCCTCACACGCTTCGTGGCCCCGTAGGGCGCTCCACCGAAGGCCCCAGTGGCTGCGCTCGCATGGCACCGCCGCGCCCGTTTCGGCACACCCATCACACGTTTCGTGGCCCGTAGGGAGCTCCACCCAGGGAAAAAGGGCAGCGCTCGCATGGCACCACCACGCCCATGTCGGCGCACCCCTCGCGCGTTTCGTGGCCGCATGGGGAACTCTACCGAGGGCATCAGTGGCTGCACTTGCATGGCACCGCCTCCGCACACCCTTCACATGCTTCCACCGAAGGCCCCAGATGCAGCGCCCGCATGGCACTACCGCGCCCAATTCGGCATACCCTTCACACGTTTCGTGGCCCCGTAGGGAGCTCCACCGAAGGCCCCAGTGGCTGCGCTCGCATGGCACCACCGCACCCCTTCTCGACATATCCCTCACACGTTTCGTGACCCCATAGGGAGCTCCACCGAGGGCCCCAGAGGCAGCGCCCGCATTGGTACCACCGCGCCCAATTCGCCCAGTCTGTCTCCACCGCGCCCAATGGGGAGTTCCACATAGGGCCCCAGTGGCAGCTTTCGCGTGGCACCACCGCGCCCATTTCGGCGCACCACTCACACGTTTCGAGGCCCCATAGGGAGCTCCACCGAGGGCCCCAGAGGCAGCGCCCGCATTGGCACCACCGCGCCACTTTCGGCGCACCCCTCACACGTTCCGTGGCCACGTAGGGACCTTTACCGAAAGCGGTCTGTACCCACAACGCGGTATTCACAACTTGCATTTGGTCGGATCTTCCGCCAGGGCGCTTTTTGTTGTTGGTGCTGCGCGCCCCCAGAGGTCCCGACCCCTATCCTGCCGGTATTTGCTTCCCGTCCCGAACCCTCAAGGGAGGAAAAAAACACCCGGGCCGGACAATTGGCGTTTACCAAGCGGCCCTGGGCGTTTACTCTTTGCCCTGTTCGTTTCCTTCTTTGGGCGCGTTTACTAAACGGCTTCGCTTGTTGGTGTGGTTATCATCGGGTTGGATGTTCTGCCCTCTATATTTGCTTCACGCCCCGAAACCACTCTTCATAGTCACATCCGGGGCACGAAAGCAATCACGTTGCCAGAGAACTGGAAGTGTGGTTTCTGTGTGTTGCTCGTGCCGCGTCGACGTGGCGGGGCGACCCCAGCGCGGGCGTCCCAGGCTGAGCGCCGCCGGCTTCCGACAGCCGGCCCACATGGAACGATTTTTCGATCGAGAAGCTCCCGACCGCCCAATGTCAAGCAGTGGCGAAGCGTCCCAGCTGGCCTATGGGCCCACCAAAGAAGTTTGAAGAACTTGTTGTGGGTTGCACGAAATGTTCTTAGAACATTTCTGGCCGATATTGTTTTGCTTCAACGCATCGGGCTCATGTTCTAAGAACATGGTTTCTGTTCTTAGAACATGTAGGGGTTCTAAAAATACTTCGTGGTGGGCCTATAGGAATGCCGGGACGGTCGGTCCCTGCTCAACCAATGTTGAACGATCTTCGCGGTGTCAGGAACCGACAGCGAGTTTACCGAAGCAGCTCGGTTGTGTGTTCATGGATGCGTCGTCGCGGCATCTCTATTGCGGATTCCTCACGGCCAGTGCCGCCGACCTTAAGGAGGGACGACGAAGTCGACGACTGCGACGACGACGACGACGCTGGCGAGCACTCGTGGGGGCCCTTGTTGGCCCTGTTGGCCTCGGGACCCCCCCCCGCCCTGGGACCCCCACCTCCCTGGACCCCCCCCCCCCTCGGACCGACCCTGACGTTCCCCTCCCGGGACCGCTCCCCCTGATCGGGAGGGGAGCAAGGGCTTTCCCTTCGACTCGAATGGTTTTCCCCGTCTTGCGGCTCTATGGGGCTCTTCGTACGAGAGGGAAGGGGTGGGGGTCACGATCCCGAGGACCCCCCCTCGGACCCCCCTGCGACCCTCCTCGGCGACCCCCCCAGCGATACCTGCCCGGGACTCCCCCCGTCCCAGCGAGGAAGGGATCAAAGCGAAGGGGGTTCCCTTCGACTCGATTACAATGTTGTTGGGCTTCCTGCTGGCTGGATCGCTCATAAAGGAGGGCTCAGGGAAATGGGGGAGAGTGGCAACGGCGACGACGACGACGACGCAAACAGTAAAGGGGAGTGTCACAGTAGCGGTCCTAGCGGTCTGGCGACGGCGCCGAGATCCGGCGGCGAAAACTCAATGCGAAACGATGATTCGATGATTTGGGTGGACAGGTAGCCTTCGAGGAGGTTCACGGTGTCACACCGCGAGGGATCAGCCGGCCGTGCATGTTTATGGTCAATGTACCATGCTTCAAAGTAAAGGCTGCTTTGCCCATGGTCAAGGCATCCTGATTTATGGCCGACCTTGATTCCTTGGAAGTTGGACATTCAACCCGAGGAGGTGGCCAGCTCGTTGTGCCGCGTGCGCCACACCAAGCTAGCCCCTGATCGTAGCAGCACGCGCGTCTCCGTGGGTGCCGCTTTCTGGGGATCTTCGTCCCTCGCCCCGGGGAACGAGCTCGCCGGCCGCGCGGTGGAATTGGCGTCGCGCGCCTGCGACCGGGAGCCGGCGAAGAGCCTGGACGTGCTCAACGTCGTCTTCAAGGATTGTCCGTGGTCCGCATACGCCCTCCTGGCTTGACCAGGAGGCCATATCCTGGAAGCAGCTTTTCAATCCGCGGGCCCCCGAGGTCTCGACCCATTTCCCGTGGACGGTTTCTCATTCCCGATCCGTTCTCTGAAGGTTCGGAGGCCCGAAAGTGGCTCCTAGGGCGTCGAAACCAAGAGAACACGTTTTGATTAGGGGAAACAAAACTGCGCCAGACGTTTTGATACTTACCAGAGCGCTTCCCTGAGGCCACCGAATTCCCTGAGGTCGACGCTGCGGCGATCCCAGCGCGGGCGTTCAGTGTTGCCGCTGGTGGCCCAGAATCGTCCAATATGGAACGACATGGCGGTTGAAAAGCCGTCGATCGTTCAAATTTTCTTCACGGTCGACGCTGTGCAAGAAACCAACGCTGGGGTTGTCGTGACTTGAACTTGCCGTTCCCTTTCTTCCTTCCTAGCGCCAATGTGGACAGGTATCCGAGGGCGAGCAGACAGGCCTCGATGGCAATGACGGCCGCTCTGGCCACTGCCTGTATTTCGAGTGACTGGCGAGGAGGTCGGTCGCTCAGGCCCCTCACGCTCTCCGACCACGGATCACATGACGACATGTCCGTACCCACGGCCTCGCGGTCCTCTCGTTGGCGGGACCCCGCGTCATCGACGAATGATGGCACCGTACCGCGGTCGCCAGACCCCACAGGATCTTCTGATTCCTTGAGTGTCTCGCCTCGCGTCCTCGACGAATGGCGACGCCCTGCGTACCAGACAGCCCTGATGGGAGAGGTGCGACGGCATCACGCCGCCAAGGCGTCACGACGCTAGAGGAAAGAGTCGTGGCGGATCGACGTCGAATACTGTTCGTGTTCTTTCCCCGAATTGACCCAGACGTAGAGAACCTTGACACACATCCCATGGTAGCCGTTCTATGGCATAGCATAGCACGAGCTTGTCCAAAACCGCACATAATAGTCACCGTATGCCACACCATAGCGTAGCATACCACGGTAAACATTTTGGGGAATATGGCATCAAGTCGCACACCATGTTTTAACATATCTAATCCATCACATAATCATGGAGTGGGCACTGAGGGAGTGTATGGCACAATCACCATCACCCGGTATAAGTGAAATGTTCGATGATCGTTGCAATTACGGCATTGCATCTCATGTACCGTTATCGCCACGAAAGTGAATGAAGCATTCATAGCATAACAATGCAAACCCAGTGAACCGACCATGACAAAACCCGACAATGCAAACCCAGTGAACCGACCACAACATGCTATACCATACCCCAACATGTCAGGCCATATCATCGCCAAACACAGCATCGCATGCCATGACATATCTTAAGAGCTTGTCGAGGTGAAACAGACACGAGCCTACCCTCACAGACCATGACACAGCACGTCATGATTGTTCTACCGGTTCCACCACTACTGCAACGACTGCAACACCTATCGAGCCGAATATAACGCAAGCGACGCTGCACATCCAAATTTGACATTGCATAGCATAACACACCGGCGAGCGTATACTATAAACCACAACGTAATGTGACACATCGGGGCACCTTAAGTCATAGCGTACCACGGCGTGATAACACATGACATTTGACCGCAGCGACATTGAAGCACCCATGACGGCGGATGGGCCATCATGGTTGGGGAATAGCTGCATGGCGCAGCATGGCGTGGCGCAGTATAATGGAATCAGGCATCACCGCATACAGTACAACACGGCAAAGCACGTATTGCTACCCAGACGCCGTCCAGATAAGAGTTCGTTCGACAGTGAACGACGGAACTGCTCGGACAATCTTATGTCAGATCGGAGGATAGCAACAAACGGCACAAATATGACATGTCGTACATGTACGTAACACTCCAATGGATTTGCGCATAGAGGTTTGAAAAGGTAACCTCATTGGAGCACCATTTCGAACCAACACTTCGATGCTACAATGAACATTGGCATACAGTCAGACTGCAAGTATGGTTGCAGTATCAGGAGATCATCGAAGACTATGCTTATAATGCAATGGGTAGAACATACCCAGTCATCATCTAGCATAGCATTACACAGCACTATACATAGTACTTTACAACACTGCCTAGTGATGCTGCGTGGGATGTGATCACAGTTGAACGTGGCACAATGTAGCAGGACAGCATAGAGTGCAGTAGTGTAGAATATAGTTGCGCCCGGTCAGTTGCGCCCTAGCCGACGCAAGGCTGGCCACAGCAATCAACCATGTACATATACGTACAGAACATAACATACTCGACATCCATCAGAAACCAAACACGTCGAAGGTTTCGGTGGGGATCGCTCGAAGAAAAATAACTGTCGTCCGAGATCCGCCCAGACCTAACTACGGTTCTCTCGGGGACGTCCGCTGAAAACGATTGCCCAGAGTGCCGCCTGGCGCCTAGCAGAGCTTTCGGACGTGTATCAGAGTGGTCTGTTTCACCGTCTTACCATCGCACCTCTAAGGTGCTCGCCATTCTTCCATCGATCTCATCCACCCATCGTGATTTTCCTCGCGCCGTTTACCGCCTGAGGTTTATAAAGATCAGCACAATTTCCCCAGGACGAGTCTATCATCCGGGGTCCTGTTGTGACGGCCCCGGGACCTGGGTTGGACTGGAAGCCCGAAGGCCTAGCACTTTTACAATTCTCCCGCAAGGAGGCTTCACGAGCGGCGAACTTATCCATGTCCGTGCCCTCGCGGTTTGGATTCCATGGCGCGATCCCGCGGATACGCGGCCGCATGGAAACGTTCCGTGAGGGGCATCCGCGGATAAACCACCCGTATGTGCCGGGTTGCGCTCAAGGCGTTTTTCTTTTCTTTTCGGCCCACCCTTGGCCACTCTCGCCGGCCGCGCTCCGCTCGAACGGTGTCGACATGGCCATCCCGGGCCCTTGCATCCTTACGTACCGCGCATTCTTATTACTCGTGTTTATTGTGACAGCCTCGCCCCAGATGGCGCGCCCCTCTCCCCCCGCCTTTGGCGCCCCGCCGGGACCGCTGGGCCTCTGGCGGCTTGGCTTTCTCGATGTGGGCGCTGTCCCTTCGAAGCTCGGCGGCGAGCCTGGGGGGGGGGAAGTGACTAGGATAATGCCGTCTCAGAAGGCTCGGAAGGCCTCAGGCCTTTGAGAAGTTGTCTAAGCCTTCTCAGCTCCGAAGACACAGAACGCTTCTCAGAAGGCCAGAGGGCCTCTGTGAAGTCCCACCGCTTGCTGAGGAGGCCTTCTCCTTCTCACCTTCCCCCCTTGCTCGCCACCGCGAGGAGGAGGTTGAGGAGGAGGAAGGAAGAGGAGGAGGAGGAGGAGGAGGAAGAGGAGGGCTTTGCTCGCGAGGCCGTGGATACGGATATGTTTTTCGCCCATGGGAGATCCCGAGAGAGGATTCTCGACTTGCCTTCTGTAAACCTTCCGCGCGGCAGGTGCCGCGCTGCCGCGGCCGCCGCCGTGGCTGCAGCGGCGGCCACCATCTAGGCTGCGGCCGCGCGGAAGGTGCGGGAGGGGCATGTCGAAGGCAGTGCCATCGCTCTGGAAGTCCCGCGAGGATCCCCGGTGGCGGGGCGAGCACGCCGCCCCCGCCGTGGTGGAGCTCGCCGTCAGGGAGCTGCGGCGCGCCGTCGGGGAGCTGCCTGGGCAGCGCGCCGCGGCGCAGCGCAGCGCGCGGCTGCTGCACTTCCTGGCGGAGGAGTCGAGGAGCCGGGCGCTGGTGGCCGGGCGGTCGGCTTCGACCTACCCTCGACCTGCACTCTCTTCGACCCTTGCCCTGTACTTTCCTCGACTGTATCGACCCCTTGTCGTGGCTCTCGGTCTCAGACCCCTGACGTGAACCTTCCGCACCTTCTGTGTGGAAGGTGCCGCCGCGATGCGGCGGCGGCCGCGGCAGCGCGTCACCAGCCGCGCGGAAGGTGCCGAGGGCGCGGCGTTGTCTGGGCGGTCGGCTTCGATTGCGTCGCGGATCTCATAGGGGGAAAGCGGTTTCGATGCCTCTACATGGCCCCCCTGGATGAGGAGTAGATGAGGTGGGATAAGCGCGCCGCATCGCCGACGCATCGGCGATGCAGCTGAATGTGAAACCTTATTGCGAAGGCCTTGCGGCCAGTGCCGCCGACCCTGAAGACGGCGACGAGGGCGACGACAAGAAGGATGAGCAGGAGGGGGAGGAGGAGGTGGAGGAGGAGGAGAAGGCGGAACAGCACGCAGCACTCACGACGCGCAGCACACCGGCAGTTGGGGAGGAATTTTGGCGTCTCTGGGCCAGTCTTGGGGGGCTTTTGGGAGCCTTTTGAGGCTTGTCGGGGGCGTCTTCGAGCTTCCTGAGGGATACTATGGGGTCTCTTGGGGCCTCTTGGGGAGCTCTGAGAGAACGCGTTTCACGGGCGCTTGCCTTGGGAACATTCTGTGGCGCGTTTCGAGCCGGGGGGTGGGCCCCCACCCCCCAACTCTCGGCGCCGTCGATCAAAACCAGGGGGACTCCCCTCCCCCCCAAGCCCCCCCCCCTCCCGACCCCCCCATCCTCCCAAGGGGGGGTGGGGGTCAAACCCCCCCTCCCCCTCGGCGCAGGCGCCGGCGGCTGCCAGCAGCGCCGACGGCGGGGACGCAGCGACGATGACCAGAGGCAGCCCAAGGGTTCACCCCCCCCCCCGTGGCGCCGGCGCCGGCGCTGGCGGCGGCCAGCAGCGCTGGCGGTGGCGCCGGCGACGGCAAAACGCTTCAACGATAACCTCCACCACCACCACCACCATTACCACCACCACCACCGCCGCAACCTACCACCACCACCACCCACCCACCACACAACCACCACCACTAGCACCGCAGCCACCACCACCACCACCACCACAACTCACCATCACCACTACTACCACTCCCACCACCATCTACCACGCCACCACCGCCACCGCCACAACCACCACAACTACCAGCAGCACGACCCACCACCACCACCACAAACCACCACACCACCACCACCGCCGCCACCACCAGCACCAGCACCACCTCCACAAAGCAACGCCACCACAACAACCCACCACCACCACCGCCACAAACCACCACCACGCCACCACCAAACCACCACGACCACCACCACCACAACCCACCACCACCACCGCCAAAAACCACCACCAGCACACCACCACCACCACCACCACCACCACCGCCACCACCACCACCACCACCACCACCACCACCACCACCACCACCACCACCACCGCGCACCACCACAACCCTCACCACCACCACAAACCACCACACCACCACCACAACCCACCACCACCACCACAACCACCGCCACCACAACCCACCACCACCACCACCGTCGTCGTCGTCGACGCTCCCCGCCGCCCGCTCTCCGCAGGCGCCGGCGCCGGCGCCGGCCCAGAAAACGAAATCGTTGCCCCCGCCGCCTCCGCCGCCAGCCGCCGCCGACGCAGGTCCTGGCCCGAGGAGAGGGGGAGAGGAGGGAGGGGGGGGGGGTCTTGTTCCAACCCCCCGCCTCCAAGCGACCACAAAACGCGCTTTTTTGAAGTTGTTGAGATTCCCTGGGAGCTTCTCGGGGCCGAGGGCTGGAAATGTCTGTTTGTGTGGAAGGAACCGTGTAATACCTTCATATATACTCCTTATCCTGACCTCTCCCGCACCTGGCCGTTTGGGCTCAGGTACTGAGTTGGAGCGATCGTACCTTGATCGCTTGGGAGGGAAAGATATCCATCTATCCCTCCATCTCTCTACCAACGGATCAGGGGTTCTGTACTCTTGTACTTCAACCCCATACACAGGTTATCAGCCCTTTAACGCTCACCTTCACCGACTCGCCCGCGGTGACCTTGCATGCGAGCCTGATGGAGCCACTTCGGCGCATGCGCCGTAAGGGTTCCATTGGGGCTTCGCGTCCAAGCTCTCCCACGGTGCGACGGCTCGGTGACGAGTTGGAGAGCATTAATGCGGACTGTGTTGGTGTCCCCGATACCCCCCCCCCCCCCAGCTCCCGAGGACCCGAGGCGCGTCTAGCTGCTGAACTTCGCCGCAGCGCCGCCCGCGGGGGGACAGGAGAAGGAGTAGGAACAGGAAGGAAGGAGTTTCACACGCCGACCTTCGATCCTCCCTCCCCTTCCCCGTCGGGGGCAATCCCAACCGCGTCAGGCGAAAGCCTTGCCGGTCTCGATACTCCAGGGCGCTTTCGCGCTAACCGCCGATGGACCTCAGGTGCTGGAACCCCCAGCCCTGCGACCGTCCCTGTGGCGGAGCACGTAGCTACCTTCGAGGAACTCAGTAGACCAGTGTCGGCACAGCCACAGACGCGGTACCCCAAGGTATCATCGGATGAGACACCACACACACATGGTCCGAGTCGCAGCTCGTCCGCGCGCAACCGCCGTGGAGCCCCAGGCCCATGCGGCGAAAGCAGGTCGAGCCCGCGCACTGCCTCTCAGAGGCCATGCACTCCCCGCGACAGGGGACACAGGGAAGCTGACGCTCCCCACCTCTCCATCTCAGACGACCAGCTGGCGGAGACGTCCGCCGCAGGTGACATAGCTGAGCTCAGAGACCAGGTTGAAACCTTCGTGTCCAGCCAATACTCTGGACTACTACAGAGCGTTCAGACGAACGCCACTGATACTGCAGCCATACGCCGCGATCTTGACGGCGCCTTAGGGATCATCGATTCCAGGATTGCCGAAGATCGACGCATCATAGGAGAACTGCAGTACCAGGTTGATCGCGAGGTGTCACACTCAGGTGAACGAACGGCAATGGTCGAGAACCTGCGCAACTATCTCGCGCAGATGGAGCAACAACTTGTGATCGTACGCGACACAGGCATTTCTGCGGTCAGGATTTTACATGATGAGATCCACGACCAGCTCCGTAACCGACCAACTCCAACCGAGGCCACAGACCTCGGCGATGTTCAGTCTCAGATCAATGATCTTCGATCTTACCTAGACCACACTACGGCGACGCTTCGTACCGAAGCACACACAAACTCGTCGAACCTGATCGACATGTTGCAGCGTACTGAGAGAGTCATCACTCAAAGGCTTGATGCGACCAACGCTGTCGTGCAGCCACTCGCTAACCGGATCTCTGACATAGAGCAGCGTTTTCCTGGTGTACAGGACGCCCTGGCAGAGTTGCGTGTCGGACGAGCCCAGACTGGCCAGCTGGATTCTCCTCCCACGGTTTACGATTTCGCCCGCCTCACTGACAGGTTGCAGGAGGTTGAGAAGGCGGCGGACCACGCGCAGTTAGAGCTCTCCCAGGTTATTCATGAAAGAGATACTGAGAAGGTGCGTGTTGAGAGTTATCTCGCACGTCTGGAAAGCGAGGTGGAGGCACAAAGCGCCCGTCTTCGAGCATGCGAGCATCGACTTGATCGGTATTCCCAACGGTCTCGGGATACTGATGAGTATACACGCCAAAAGGTGGGTCAAGTACAAGAAGACATGACGAGCTGGACACCTCAGCTGATCGACCACACTAACGACACCAACATTCACCTTCGACCTGCAGCCGATCTGCACAGGCCGACGGCAGCGTCCGCCGAAGCACCACAAGCTTCAGCAGGACAACAACGACGTACATCTCCAGGAGCAGCCTCAGCGGCAGCTTCTGCACAGACACGTCATGTGTCTCCTGTGCGCACAGAACCAACCATCGACGGTGCACCGATACCCTCACAACCAGTGTCTGCGGTGTCGGTCCATACAACGACGCCAATCAAGGAGTCAGACACCGTTCGAGTACCTGTCTTGCCTAAGATCACGCAGCTGCTGGAGTGGCAGCAAAGAGTGCGAAAGAACTTCGGGGCCGCATCAGGGCGACCATCCAAAGCATACGCCTTCCTATGCGTGGCAGAACAACCCGAATGTACATTTGAGGATTTACAAGACAGTGGAGACTTTGAGAGCATCGATTGCAAACTCGCAACCGCTCTGAGCGACATCTTATCCTCAGACTTACGCTACCAAATCAGGCTCATCGAGACCAGAGAGCACAAAGCAGGACGCATGCTCAAAGGGCGCCAGATATACTGGCATATCCTACAGTCCTACAGAGTGACAGACGTCGACGACGACCTGCACGATTTCGAGCGCCTTAAAGAACTGAGGATGAGAGACGAAGATCTGCAACGTTTCATTACCGATTGGGACGCCTTACTCTTGGAATGCCGAGAAGTACCCGATCCAAAGATATTGGAATCGCTATTCCGCACACAGATTCGTAGACATGCATGGATGTAACAAGACATGTACGAGTACCAGCGCATGAAGATGAGCGACCCGAATAGTACCTATGGTTGGCTTCGACAGCGTGTCCTGGACATACTGGAGATTAAACAATTGGAGAATAATCAAAACAAGCTACGGTACGAACACGAAACACGATCTCAGGTCAACCTGTGCGCTGCATGGAAGAAAGGCAATTGTCGCAATGGTGAACGGTGCAAGGCTTTACACACATATTCCAGGGATTGGAAGAACAACAAATCCTCCAGAACATCAACGGCTGGTGGCAACCCCCGCCGTAGTATGTCCACTCCTGCGAATCACAAGAAGCCAGCATCAAGGCCATTCTGCTTCGATTTTGCCAAGCGCAACACATGTACCAGAGGTGATAAGTGTAACTACCCGCACGTCGCACAGTGCAAGGGTTTCGCACAGAACAAGTGCACAAAAGGCGACAAATGCAAATACGCTCATCTCGCAC